TTATCACAACATCGAGGGTCTCATTAGATTTCTTGAGGATCTCACTATATTTATCAGCGGTCTCACCGGTCTTTTCGAGGGCCTTACTAAATTTATCGGCGGCTTCTAGACAGTTCTTGAGAGACCTTAAAAGTGTGGTTTTGAACTCTATATCCTCCATTTCTGGTATTTGTGTCCTATTTCTTTATCTCCGCATTTTTTATGCTTTCTTGGTGCACCCCCTAGTGGTCTTTGTGCATAGTCTTGTTGTAGTTAAGCCTTGATTATTGTAGGTAATACTGGGAGGATTTGACCTCCAGGCTAACTGGCTGTGAGAATCAGCTGTGTATGCAGTGGGAGAACTTCTGTCCTCTAGGGAGGTGCTAATCTAGCCTTTGCCTGAGGCTATCCAGCAAATTCCTCTGTGCAGGGCCTGGGCGGGGCGGGTCCCACAGGATCAGCAGGGCGGGCAGAGCAAGCAGTTATGGCTGCTCTCAGTCCTGTCCCCAGGGGCTCTGCCTCTCAGAGTCCCAGCAACCGCTGCAAACCTCGAAGAGAAAGCTACCTTTGAGTTCTGACCAAAGCCAGACAGTCCCACTTCTCCCGTTTGAGTCTGGGTCCCTAGAGACTCGCCCAGATCTGGAGCTCAGGGTCTGAGACTCCCTCCGATTGAAACAGACAACCACGCCCTCAGCCGCCAGCCCACTCCGCATGCACTCTGCACCTTAGTATTTACTTCAGCACTGCGCCTCCTCTGAATCTCGGTATGCTTTTCTCTTTCCTCCTAGTTGTAGAACTTCCACTCAGCCAGCCTTCCTGTGGTTCTGGATGATGTCTGTTCCGTCTTTTAGTTGTATTTTTGAAGTGGTTGTTCGAGGCAGCAAACTCCGGTGTTAACCTATGCCGCCATCTTGGTTTCTCCTCCCCATTTCTGTTTTAAATCTAGGCATTAATATCTATACATTTCTCTGTCAGCACTGATTTAGCTGCATCAAATAAGATTCGGTATGCTGTGCTTTTGGTTTCATTCATCTCAAATACTTTTTAAAAATATATTTTTATTAATTTCAGAGAGGAAGGAAGAGGGAAAGAGAAACATCAATGACGAGAGAGAATCATTGATAGGCTGCTTCCTGCATGCCCCCTACTGGGGATCGAGCTGGCAACCCAGGCATGTGCCCTTGACCAGGATCAAACCTGGGACCCTTCTTTCCGCAGGCCAATGCTCTATCTAATGAGCCAAACCAGCTAGGGCTCAAAATACTTTTATTTATTTATTTATTTATTTGTTTATCTATTTTTCATAAATTTAAAAAATATATTATTTATTTCAGAGAGGAAGGGAGAGGGAGAGAGAGCATCAGTGATGAGAGAGAATCACTGATTGGTTGCCTCCCGCACACCCACTACTGGGGATTGAACCCACCACCTGGGCATGTGCCCTGACCAGGGATCATAACCTCTGGATTTTGGGGTCAGTGCTCAAACCCTGAGCCACATTGGCCTGGGTCAAAATACTTTTAAATTTCCCTAATGATTTCTTTTTCCACCCATTGTTTATTTAGGAATATGTTGTTTCATTTCAATATATTTGTGAATTTCCTAAATTTCCATCTGTTACGATTTTCAATTTCATTTTATTATGTTCGGATAAGATAATTTGTATGATTGTAATTCTTTTAAATTTGTTGAGTTTTGTTCTATGGGGCATCTTATTTTTGTTTACAGCTTTATTTGATACTTGTTGGACATCTCCCCTTGGTACCTCAAAAGAACTTGACACATGCACAAAATCACACCCATGACATCCCATCCCCTCCCACCTTTCTTTCAGTATTTCCATCTCAATGAAGGTGCCACTATCCTATGCATATCTCTGGCCTGAACCTAAGATCATCTTCTATATCTCCATCTTCCTTTCCCCATAAATCCAATTCATTAGTCAGTCTGGTTGATTTTACTTTTCCTCAGATCGCTTACATCCATTCACTTCTTTCCATTTTCATGGCCAACACAGTAGTCTAAGACACCACCATTTCTTGCAGAAACTTTGTTAATTTCCCTTGGTCCAAGCTCTCACCATCTTTACAGGAACAACTGAAACTTTCCTATGAACCAGTTTTCCAACATCTCTTGTTGCTGTCCTCCATTCTGGATTTTATATGGCAGTCTGCTTCTACTGATCATATGAATCTTTTGATTATAATCACATTGCATTAGAAAAAAACAACCACCCCAGATTCCAACAGGCCTTGCATAGATAGTCTGGCTTCCTGATCTCTGTAGCCTACTCCTATGGCTCCTTTGCTCTCCATCCTCCAGCCTCACTTGTCTGCTTTCAATCCCATGACAGCCCATCCTCCCTCCTGCCATAGGGCCTTTGACCTTTCATCCCACCTGCTTCACCTAGGTAAACCCTCTGTATTCTTCACATGTCCTTCAATATTCACTTTATTCAGGTCGTTTTCCACTGCAGGCCCTTATCTGGGCCTGTAATGACACATTTGTTTGTGTGGTTAATGTCAGTCACTTGGAAACTCTGTGAAAACAGAATCCTATTTGTGTTTGCTTACTGCAGTAGCCATGGTCAGAGAGGGGCTCAATGAATATTTGTTGACTACAAACACCACACACCCATCCAACTTCTACCTTGGGTCTCCTGTCCATCCCTGTTTCAGATCAGAACCCAGGCCAGACTCACCTCAAAGTCTCCAGGCGGCAGTGAGGGCTTTCCAGGGCGTCACAAAGACTCTGTACTGCAGAGCAGCTCAGAGAGTTCCCACTCAGGTTCAGCTCCCGCAGGCTTCCAGGGACTTTGAAAATAGAGAAGAACATCTGCCACCAGGAATCTGTAAACGGGCCCCAGCTGTACCTGAAGGAGAGAGAGGGACAGGGAGATGTGACTGGTGTGTATGTGGTCTTATGTGCACACTGTGCTCAACACCATGGGATTTGGCCCCTCTGAGTGCCAGGCTGCCATGGGCAGGGCTATTTCCATTGGTGATCAGTCTCTGGAACTGCCCCTCTGTTCCCACCACCCTGGGCTAATGGCACAGCCCTTGCCATTCTACACTGCTGTACTCCTTTGGTGGGCCTGTTTCTGCTAGAGTGTGGGAAATTCTTGTGGGAAAGGGCATATATGTTCATCTTTTTTTATCTGCAGTGCCCAGCACAGAGCCTGGGATGCAGACAGTCTTCCTCTCATCAATGCAGACATGCCTTTCTTCCTTTGGCACAGATACTGTTAAGTCCCAATTTCCAGAAAGGAAAGGAAGAGGTAAGAGGAGGCAACAGAAATTGGGAGAGGTGGCTTAAGATGATTTTGTGATGGGATTGCTGATTATGACTATATATGCTGCTGTCCAGGTTGGCTTGTGTGGGACCCTATCCCCTTCCCAGGATAGCAAGAGCACAGAGAGGGTCTCCAGGAGAGAGATGTCATAGGGGAATGTCTCATGAGAGAACATTTGTAGGATGTGGGGAGAGGATGATGGGCTTTTTTCTGGGAGTTTTAGGGTAAACTGCCTTGTATCATTTCCACCAATTTAAATTCTACATTCCGCACACTATCGAAGTGACTTTATCCACTCCCATGGCTCAGTGACTCAAATCCTATTTCAAGTTGCAAACTGCCATCTGTATTTTCTTGCCAGAAAAGAGCACCCAGTATGTCCCCCATCCATTCATCTTTCCCTTCATGTCTGCAGAGCTGTTCCGAGGTGAGAAGAGGCTCTGGAGCCATCCTTTCACGTGGCAGTGCCACTTGTCAGTGCCTCAGTCAGTCCCCCTGCTGCAGGGAGGGGAGAAGAGGAGCTGCCTCGGAGGGTTTTGTGAGGAGGTAGAAGTGTTACCGAGAATCCCTAAAACCTTAGTGCAGTTTTAGCTTTAACAGCTCTAAGACACACCATGCTGCAAAGGTACCGAAACCCGTATCATTTGAAAGTTTATGTGTTTTGTAAACATTTATGTAGTTTCGGGAAATTTGAATAATACATTTTTAAACACTTTGTTTTGTTGAAACATTAGTCAACTTTAAATTTTAATCAGAGAGGCTAAAAGAAAAGCTTAAAAATTTATTAACAAGACGCACAGTGCTTAATTACAAACCAACTACCTAGAGCTGCTCATCCTTACTCTCTCGTATTGGTCCTCCTCTCCCTCCCACAGCCTGGGGCCAGTTGTCATCATTTCTTCACAGACTTGTTGTTTACAGTATCCTCTTCGCTATTCTCCCTGCCTTGCCTGGCTGACTCAATGCCTTTACAATCTCCCTGCCCACAGCAGCTGCAGCCTCTGACTTTCCCATGGGAGTCTCTCCAGACTCTATGTGTCACCATCTATTGCAAACTCTCTTACTTTGTCTTGGTGCCTCTGATTCCTCTTGCTCTCCTCTGGCCTCCACCTCTCTGCCTGCTCAGGACACTTCTGAAGGCCACCACCACTTGCAACACCTGCACCTTGGTCCTTTAAGGACCAGCTTACCTTTATAACCACAACAACTAGAAATAAATTAAGTATCTGAGAATAGAGGACTGGTCGGATATTTGTGGCAGCTTCCCTATGGGAAACGGTATGGTCGTTCAGAATGGTGTATCAGGCTACTTCATAACACAGAAGGAAGTCTTGATATAAAAATAAAGAAAGAAAGCTGACTGTAAAATAAAAGGTGCAGTATGACTCAGTTTTGCTTTAGAAATGTGCATAAAAATAAGACTAGAGGATATATACCTCACTTTATAATGAAGGTCCCTTCCCCTCTGAAATCAATAAAAAATATATTTTAAAAAATTATTGAGAAAAAAAGTTACTGGTGATCTCAGTCCTAAAGCCGCTGGGGCCAGGCTTAGTGGGAGTGCCCCAGGGCCCAGGGCGGTGGTACCAACAGAGGAGCTGGAGAGAGGGGAGGGGGAACACTCACAGAACTACACCTGAAGGCCTTTGAGCTGGTTTTTTCTTTCCACCGTCATTCAGTTGAAGCGTATCCATGAGATGGCAGAATTTAAAGCAGAATGTGGACACCAGGAGCTCCATATGAGTTTGGACATATATCCTCATTCCATAGAAATTGGACATCGTTTCTGTCAGAAACCTTTTGTCCTGATACTCATAAAAACAGTGGAGCAAGTGCCAACAATATGGCTCTAGGTTAGGATGCTTGTAGTTAACTTCCTCCTGGGCCAACTGCAGCAGATAGGAATGCGTCTCCTGTGACAGGCTGCATTTGAAGATGCTCTCCATCTCTCGCATCCCCTGATCACTCAAAAGACCAAACAGGAAACATATGGTTGGTTCCCCAAACAGGTCATACCTGTCATATACATCGGTCAAGTCTGTTATAATTGTGATGTTATTAAAGCAACCACTTTTCAACACTCTATCGCCTAAAGCATAGGACATTGCTGCAAAGAATTCCTGGAAGCACAGGTGAATGAAGCTGTAGTTCTGAGGGGTGGGGTGCTCTTGAAGAACACCCATGTTTAAGAGAGTGGAGATGTTGGCCCCATAAAACCCATGTTTCTTGAAGTCCTCGGGGCTGAACAGAGTCTTTCCTTGACAGGTGCCTTCAGCAGCCAGAGAGCAGAAGCCCCTCAACTTAGTCCCGAGGGACTGAGCCTGGAGAACATGGAAAAAGTAGTGCAGACAGAGGGCTGTGGTCGTCTGGGAGGTAAGTGAGAGTGGTTGCTCCTGCTCCATCTGCTGCTTCAGGCAAGTGCAGACCAGCCAGGACACCAAGGGCATGAGACACATGGTGAAGAGAGCCGGGTTGGATTCAACCAAGGTAAAGGCTCTAATCGCTTGGCTCTCATCTGTGAAATATTTGTAGAAATACTCCTTCCTGGCTGACTCGGAGAATCCCAGGATCTCCACCCAGTGAGGATGCTTTAAAGAAGGAATGAGTTTTCCCAGAGCTGTGATCCGAGCTGTGATCAGCAGGGAAGCCGTGGGAAGTAAGGTTTTCTTCAGCAAACTGCCCAGCAGTGTGTGCACCTGCTGCTGCTGGCTCCAGTGTGGACAGAGCTCAGAACTCTGCTCCTTCAAGTCCCATTTTGGTTCATCTAAATTATCAAGAATGAAGAGCAGCTGCTCTGGCTGAGACAGGATCTGCCCAATAGGAGCATCAGGAGCAGCCCAGTCTTTTGTGATGAGCTCAGCGAGACTCATGGTCTCTGACTGGGCCAGCTCTCTGCAGTTGAAGTAGAAGACATGCTTGAAGCGGTCCTTGAACAGCCAGCCTTCCTCCCAGGCTCTCCTCACCTGCCTGGCCAGGGTTGACTTCCCAATTCCAGCAACTCCATGCACCACGACAGTGGGAGGCTCCTCCTGGGTACTCAGGCCTGGGCCAAATAAGTCTCCGATCTCCATCAACTGTCCTTGTTCATCTACCACCTCATGATACCTTTTTCTCCAGTGGAGGAAGTCATAGCCTCTGGGTTGAGATCTGTGTAGAAGTAGCAGTTGTGTGAATTTTTGGTGCAAATACTCATTTCTCCATGACTGTGTAGGGCAGGAACTCTCTCTCCTTTGGTTGTGGTATTTTTCTTTGATTCCTAGAGAAAGGAGAGAAAGATGGGACATTTGTTCAATTGTTTCTCCACTTATTCCACAATTGTTTTCTGAACCCACTTGAAGCTACACACTTTGCTGGCTGCTGATATGGTACATTCTTGCCAGGCCAGTGAAGAAAACAGGGTCTTGAGGTGAAGATCCCAGCTTAAGTATTTTTTTTAAATTATTGATTTGCTTTATAAAAATAGGATTGTATATGTATACATAATTTTATTTTTTTAATTTTGTTTTATTGCTTAAAGTATTACAAAGAGTATTACATATGTCTCCTTTTTTTCCCCTGCCCTTGACATTCCCCTGGCCTCCCCTACCCCCCAGTGTCTTATGTCCATTGGTTATGCTTATATGCATGCATACAAGTCCTTCGGTTGATCTCCACCTTAAGTTTTGACTTGACCAAATCATTCTCATAGGGTGATGTTTCTTCATTCTGCAAATATCTAATCTAGGGCTTATACTGTGAGGCACTTATCTAGAGGCTGGGAATAAAGAGTGAACAAACAGACACAACTGTCTGCTCTCATTAATTCCATGACCTGAGCTATCAGCCCCACTGAGCATCAGTTTTTTCATTCATAAGTCATAAGTAGTTATGATGGAGTGAAGGATATAATGGATGGTGAAGCGGATAGGATTGGTTCCTGAGAGTACCTCCTCTGCACCCACCCATTTAACCACATGGCAAGGATATTCTTCTACTCGCACCTGTGGTTTTCTGTCTGAGGACTCTCTCTTAGGCATTGGGTGTGACGGGCCAGAAGCCCTGGGGAACTAAAGCTCCAGAGGGAGCTCTCAAACAGTGATAGATGGCAGTACCCTGACCCCAGGAAAGATAACACTATCTCCTGAAGATCCCTAGTTCATTGAACCTCAGTTGCCCCACAATGCAGGTTTCATTGGTTTCCCTACTTCCCTTCCCACTTCTCTCTCCTAATGGTGCTTCCAGGGAACCAGTTCTTGAATAAGCCACCTGCTCTCCAATGTCAGCTTCTGGGGGAAACCACCTGGACAGAGGAGAAAGTGGTTTATGAACTGTGAGGAGCTGAGCACATGTCAGGGACTGTGCCCCTGGGAGGAACCTCTAGGTCATATCTTTGAAATATTCCAAGTTGAATTACTGCTACATCCTTTTCCTTTCTTCCCTTCAGAATATTTTGACTGACTTTCATCTCTCTTCATAGATGAATGTTTGAGATGATGCAAGTGACCCATCTGGAGTCCTGAAGCCCAGTTCATCTTGGGAAACCTGCTGGACCTCCAGAGTATTTGGGCCAATTTTCACCTGTAGCTTGGTGAGAATAGGGTATTAGGGGCCCACTCCCTCTTCTGCAATCATGATCTGAAGATCCACTTTTATTGTCTCTCATGAGAACATTTCTGGCAAAGTGCAGATCTTCTAATGCATCAATATGGCCACTCTGCATCATGGTTATGGCCCACCCCACTCTGAATCCTATGTCTGCCTGAGGTGCCAAGAGAGGACTTAGGTCTTTTGGTGCCATGTTCTCCAAAATATCCTGGTTTTAATGGATCTACTGGCATTCCACATATCTAAATTCTCTTGATTTAGTAAAACTTTCAAAATTCTACCCTTACCACCAATACTTCTATCAAGATACATTTTAGCATTATGCTTTTGACCAGGGGTTGGCAAATTCTGGCCAAATCTAAGTGTCCACCTGTTGTACAACCCGTGACCTAAGAATGGTTGTTACATTTTTAAATGGTTGAAAAAGTCAAAGAAGAATTATATTTAATGACATGAAAATTATATAAAATGCAAGACATGTGAAGAGATGTACATCCAGGTACATGAAACTCATAGGTCCTGGTACAGATTCAACTTTAAAAGACTTCATTTATCACATTATAATGAAATTGTCAAAAATGAAAGACAAAGAGAATATTAAAGGAGCAAGAGAATGACTGATCTCAGACAAGGTGACTCCCACAAAGCTATGAACAAATTTCAGCAGAAACATCACCGTTCAGAGAGAGTAGATGATATATTCAAAGTGCTGAGAGAAAAAACAGCTGTCAGCTAAGAATGAGCAAAGGTTCAGAGATGAAAGAGCTATAAAGGTATTCCTAGATAAACATAAGTGGAGGGAGTTCATTACCACTAGAACGGACTCACAAGAAATGCAGAAAGAAATTCTCCAAGCTGAAATAAAGGATGTTAATTGGTAACATGGAAATATATGAACGTATATATCTCACTGGTAAGGGTAAATATATAGTCAAATTCAGAACATGCTATACAGTAGTGATGATGTATAAATAATTCTAGTAGAGTGATGAAAAGACAAAAGTATTGGCTAATGCTGTGGGAGTGGGTGGGCGTGGGGTTGTCAGATTGTAGGAAATCCTGGGAGCTGGTGCAGAGGGGCATGGAGGCACTGGTGCAGGATAGTATGATGACCTTGGAACGTCTTTGGGGTATGCAGGGGGTCATTGACTGATGATCAGGCATTTGATTTTAACTTTTAGCTTTGTAACAGCTTAAGGGACCAGGTGAGAACATGTGTGGAGTTGGCCCCTGTCACTGCAAATAGTTCAGAGTTTGTATGCTCCTTTTTACAAGTGATTTCCCAGATCACAGTTCTCTGCTGAGATTTGAGAATTTGGGGAACACCTGCAGCTTTGTAACTTCAGAGGTGTAATCAGTTAAAAAATTCACCTTTTGTGGAGTTGTGTTTTGTCAGTCATCTCTGTTAACTGAGCCCCAAGAAGGACTCCATGAAAGATGACAAAAGAAGTCACTGTTATAGCCAAGTCTGTGTGTGTGTGTGTGTGTCGGGGGGGAGGGGATAAAGTGCCCAAAAGGATCAGAAACTTAATTAACATCAAAATGAATCAGCACATGTGGCTGCTGAATGACTCCAAGACTTGGTGGCGGGTGAGGAGGTGGCCAACAGGACAGGCCATGGTGCTGTCCATCTACATGGAGAGGAAGGGTGGCCTGAAGAAGGGCTCCCTCATGAAGAATCTGAAGAATACACTGGGCCTTGGCAATACCAAGAAGAAGAAAAGCCTATGGGACTCGTCCCTGATACCCAGCACCGATGCTGAGTACCCTGCCAAGGGGGGAGTTGCCAACTGTATCTATGACCTCAACATCCTGGACTTTGTCAAGTTTGCCTACATGACTGAGAGGTTAGGTGAC